GGTCCAAGTGTATCATATTTTTTTTTTCAGTTGTTCTATACGATTTATATTCTCTAAGTTTGGGCAAATCGAGGGAAACAATCCAAACAACATGCGCGACTCTATTAAAGCGTGACCGACGGAAAAAGAAAGAATGAATGTCTGATGAGATAATGGATATGATGGATGAAAGACGTAAATTCAAGAATAAAAATGCAGAAAAATACCAGCAGATCCACAAAACCATAAGAACGAAAATTCAAGAAGCCAAAGGAAAATGGTTTTCCAACGAATGCAGGGAAATAGAACAATACGAACGAAAATACGACAGTTACAATATGCACAAAAAAAATAAAATCGATGACAAACAAGAGGAAATTCAATTCAAGTCACCCAACAGCATAAAAGATAGCGATGGAAATTTTATCTTGGAGCCATCAACGATTTTAAAAACATGGAAATCATACATAGAAAAATTATTTGCATCTGACAGGACTGATGATCACCTATATGGAGAAGGAGAAACAGGACCTTCAATCCTTAAATCGGAGATAGAAGATGCCATTGCAGCACTAAAAAACAATAAGTCAGCAGGTCCAAACAATGTACCCTGCGAAATATTAAAGATCCTATGTAAATCAGACAAACAATTCTTTGATAATCTAGTTGTACTTTTTAACAACGTATATATTAGCGGTAAAATCCCGGAGAACTGGCTGCACTCAACATTTATTACAATCCCGAAGAAACCAAATGCCCAGATTTGTGATGACTACCGGCTTATAAGCTTGATCAATCATGTCACTAAAGCGTTCACTAAGATCATTCATAGAAGAATATATGATAAATGTGAGTCAAATATTGCTAGATCGCAGTTTGGTTTTCGGAAAGCACTTGGAACTAGAGAAGCAATTTTCGCTCTCCAGAAGCTTCTACAGCGGTGTAGAGACGTTGGTAAGGACGTGTATTTGTACTTTGTAGATTTCAGAAAAGCATTTGACAATGTCAATTATGAACAATTGATAGATATTCTACGAAAGATAGGTATTGACGACAAGAACATTCGAATTGTGGCAAACCTATACTGTAGTCAATCAGCAAGAGCAAAAATTGGCAACGAACTCACTGAAAGCGTGCAGATCAAAAGAGGTGTCCGTCAGGGGTGTATATTATTCCCACTCCTATTTAATATGTATTCCGAGGAAGTATTTAACAAATGTATGGAAAATGCAAATGAGGGCATAAAAATAAACGGCGAGTTAACGAACAATGTAAGATATGCCGACGACACGGTGATCCTTGCCAGTACCATAGACGAATTACAACAAGTAATGGAAAGACTTTATTCAGTTAGTGAGGAATACGGCCTGAGCCTCAACTTCAAGAAGACAAAGTGGATGCTGATAAGCAAAAAGCAACAACCTGCTCGACAATTACGGATAAGTAACATACTAATTGACCATGTACAATTTTATGTGTACCTTGGCATCAACGTAAATGCAAAATGGGAACAGACCATAGAAATTAGGCGAGAATGGAACGAGCTAGAGCAGCATTTAGCAATATGAAAAAGCTCCTCATAAGCAAGGATTTGTCTCTTCCCCTAAAACTACGTATAGTTAAATGCTACATTTTTCCGATCTTGCTGTATGGCGTGGAGGCCTGGACGCTGACGGAGACGCTAACGAGAAAACTAGAAGCATTCGAAATGTGGGTGTACCGACGCATTCTTCGTATATCCTGGACTGAACATGTCAACAGCATAGAGGTACTCCAAAAAATCGGAAAGGAGAAAGAAATCGTGAATACAATTAAACAAATAAAGCTTGAATATCTAGGCCACATATTAAGACACGATACGTACCGTCAGCTACAATTGATTGTCCAGGGAAAAATAGACAGTAAGCGAGGGCCAGGCAGGAGAACACACTCGTGGCTCCATAATCTGCGGAAGTAGTTCGGGCTCACATCGGTCGAACTATTCAGAAGCGCCGCAAACAAGATCAAAATTGCCATGTTAATAGCCAACGTTCGCAACGGATAGGGCACTTGAAGAAGAAGAAGTTTGGGCATTTTATTACAATCCTAAATTATTAATTTAGTGATTGGACGGTCAAGTTTAGTTATTGAACAGCGGTCCAATAACTATCAAACTGATTACTAAATTAATTTTACTTCTATCTCTAGTTAATTATACGTAAACCCGTTGAAAATTGTAAAAATATATGGTAAGTATAGTTATCTAGTGATTGGACAGGTGTCCCATAATAGAATTCAGCAAGTTTTCTAGTTTAGTTGTTGGAAAAGCTTACTAAATCCGTATTAAAATCCCTATTACTGTACGCGATCTACCACTCACATAACCTAAAAATATTTACCGCCAAAATTACAGAACCCGTTAAAGGCAGAACATGGACATAAGAATTGACGTAATATAGAAACGAGTAAAGCCGCCTAGTGAAATATACTCTTGTTAGCACTTGCAGAAATCTTATAATCGTAAGTTAATATTGTAATGTCCAATAACTGTCTCGTATCCAATAACTGGCGTTTTACCCTAGTTACCATAATTGTAATCACTGGGCGCGTTCAGCAGACGGAGCAGCTACCGCTCCGCTACTTCATAAATAAAAAAAAAATTTAATTTTTTAATGTGTCTGTGAAGACCAGTGTCGGTTTTTTGTATGTTTTTTTAAGAATTTTCAACAACTAAGTAATTATAATAAAAAAATCAATATTTCAACAAATAAGGAAATGAGATCTCTCCATTGTAGTGGTATTTATAAATTGACCATAGCTCCGATGATGGCTTTGTAAAGCCGAAAGCGCCCAGCTAGGAATTATTTAAAATATACATACTTCAAAAATACTTTTTTGCCTTTTCTTTTGACTTGTCATAAGTGTGTACAAAAAATATATCAGTCTTTTGATTTTTAAGAAGTCTGTTCTATAAGTCTGTATCAGTCTGTTGTATAAGAAAATAAAGCAAATGTTATGGAACGAAATTTTTTTATTGTAAACAATTTTAAAAGGACTAAATATTATAGAACTAACATTTTTTAACCTTAAGAATCTTTATAAATATTGAAAGTACAATTTTTTTATTCATCAATCAGCCAATCATGTCCACTGCTGGACATAGACCTACCTCAGTTCTTTCCAGTGTTCTCTATACTGGGCCACTTGTAGCCAGTTTCCCGCTACACGTTTTATATCATCGGTCCATCTAGTCGGTGGTCGTCCTCGGCTTCTTTTATAGTTTCTGGGTCTCCATTCCATAATACGTCTTGTCCACCGACCATCTTGGTTCTGGCTAAGTACCCTGCCCAGTTCCACTTAAGCGGCGTGGTTCTTTCGATGACGTCTTGAACTTCTGACCTTTGCCTGATTTGTTGGTTTTTTATGTGGTCTCGAAGGCTCACGTTCAGCATTGCACGTTCCATGGCTCGTTGTGTAATTCTGAGTTTATTCGTAGATTTTTGCGTGAGTGTTAAAGTCACTGCTCCATAAGTTTGTACATGCAAAACACATTGGTTATAAACCTTTCGCTTGAGAGACATGGGAATTGAAATTTTTAGAATATGGTTTAATTTGCCAAATGCTGCCCATATTAGGCCTATTCGCCTCTGTATTTCATGTGTTTGATTGTCTCTGCTTATTTTAATTTCGTGTCCCAGATATTTGTAAGTGTCTGTTTGTTGTATGGTATTATTGTCAATAGTTATATTTCCACTCATTACGAGATTTGTTATAAGTTTAGTTTTCTCAAAGTTTATCTTTAATCCTGCTCTTTCAGACAGACTTTTAAGCGAATGCATCATAGAAACTGTATCATGTAAGTTATCTGCCATTAATACATCATCTGCAAACCTTAGGTGATTTAATCTTTCTCCATCTATATTGATGCCCATATCTTGCCATTGAGTGGTCTTAAATATTGACTCTGGAGCTGCCGTTAACAATTTTGGTGAAATATTGTCTCCTTGTCTAACTCCTCGATCTAAGCTGAATTTTTCTGTGTCTTCGTGTAGTCGTATACTTGATGTAGTGTTCTCCTAGATGTTTTTGATTAGTGTCGTGTACCTATAATCTATTCGGCTTTGATTTGGGGCTTTCAGTATTATTTTAAACTCTACAGAATCAAAAGCCTTCTCGTAATGTACAAATGCAAGAACCAGTGGTATGTTGTACTCGATGCAATTTTCTATTAAGATATTTATGGTATGCAAATGGTCATTTGTGCCATATCCTGGCCTGAAGCCTGCCTGTTCTTTGGGCTGATAGAAATCAAGTTTAGGTGTTAGACCCTTTATTAAAATTTTCATAAAGAGTTTATGTCAAAAGGCGTTAGTAATATCGCCTTTTTTGTGTAACAAGACTATTACTGCATTGTTCCAGTCTTTTGGAATCGTACCCGCATGTAAGCATTTATTAAATAGTTCGCTTACTGATTTTAATAAAATGTCTCCTGTTTTTATTGCCTCGATAAAGAGTCCATTATCACCAGGCGATAGATGGTTCTTCATTTCCTCTAAAGCTACTCTTACTTCTGACACAGTAATGGGTAAAAGTATTTCCGATCCCTGAATAATGAGAGTCTTTACTCGTGTCGGGAAATTGTCTTGTATTCTTTGCCTGGTATAGAGGTCTCTATAAAACTCTCTGGTTATTTTTATAATGTTTTTTTATCTGTTGTTGCCTTTCCGTCCAACTGACATATATATCCAACTGACAACTACATAATATAATCAACAAACGTCAAAACATAAACAACTGTCACACAAAGACTACTTCAAACAACGAGGAACGTCTCAATTTTAGTTTTTTCATTATGTGAAGTGAAAAATAAAATCTTGTATGGACCACTGGTGGTACCGGATGATTACGCCCCTAAGCCAGAGGCCTTCTGGCTGAATTATATTGCTTTCTAGGCGAAATCGTTGGAATCACACACTTGGTGCATAAATAACTATATAGTACTACTTATTATAATAATTTGTTTCTCACCAATATATTTTTAGGTTTAGTCTCTGCAACATTAGAAATTAATACTACCGATACAAATTCCACTATCAGAAAACCACGACAAAGCAGGTAAGAGATATTTTTTATCCGATAATATTATGCTTAATTTTGAAGATGAATAGCTGTACAAATTTTATTAAAAGTCAAGGACATTCAGTTGGTACAGCTCGACTGTAGATAATATATTCTACTTAAGACCAGTTTCAGAAGATAACATGGTAGATTTTGTTTATTTTTATGATGCTTTAATCTCCTCTTTAACACGGCATATTTTAAAATTTTCTAAAATTAGCAAAAAACCGTTCTGAATACAAAAATTATGTCTATTGATCAATTTTTATACTATAAGTCTATACCTATACTATAAGTCTAGTCGTTAGAGATTTGACCTCTAAAAATCATACGACCAAGGAGAATTCTATTGAGAATATCAATTTTGGGACCCCCAAAAAATGTTTACCACTTTTACCTCCTGGCTTCCCATAAAAATCCCCGATATAGGGTGGAAATGGAAAAAATCGATGTACCAACAATCTACGCCGTAGACAAAAATATTTCAAATAAAGAATGTAGCTGAAATAATTTTGAACAAAAATGTCTATTAGCAGTTTTTGTGAAAAATGAATAGAAACAACAAGAACGAGTTGCATTAACTTCACGGTAAAAATTCGATATCTTTTGATCAAGATGTCAAAACGAATTTTAAAAAATGTACTACTTCTATACCTAATTTTTGTATTTTGTCACAAATAAAGTCAGTTTTTAAAAAGGTACTAAATAAATGAACGTTTCACGATTTTTCCTTTTTTTAGGATTTTCATTAGGTCAATAAAAATTATTATTTTCACTTCCAAACCTATCATCAAATTTTAATTTTGTAGTTTGGTAACAAATATGGGACATTTGAAATATGCCTAAAAAACTTAGAATTTAAACTTTTAAAGTCACGAGAAAGGACTTCTTAAAGGCTAGTGAAGTTTATAACTGAAGTTACGAAATTTAGAAAAACGCACTTAAACTTTTGAAAAGAAGCAGTTTTAAATATTTTAGATCGTTTGTATTGTGACAGTTCAAATTTAGCGTTTTTTAGGCATATCTTAAATGCCTCACATTTGTTGTCAAAACGGACAACCAAAATTTTCATGCTATAGGTGTTAAAGCTTATGATCTAGCAATGAAAAATCCGCTATGACCGCTTAATTAAAAAAAAATTCATTGATCATATGAGAACGGTCAAAAATGGCGAAAATTGCACAACGTTTTATTTACTTATTTAACACCTTTCTAAAAAATCACTCCATTTGCGATAAAATACAATAATTGCATCCGAAAGATGAACTCTTTTCCTTTAAAAAGCATTTTGATTTTTGTCGATGGAATAATCTGATCAAAAATGATCGAAATTTTACCGTCGAGTTAATACAAACTGTATTTAAAATAATTGATTTTGCTCGCGTAACTGGCACTCAATATGGCCGGTCACTTCAAGCGTTGGCTTTGAGAAAACGGTTTATTTTACACAAAAAATGCTTATTAACATTTTTGTTTAAAATTATCACAGCTATATTTTTTATTTAAAACATTTTTTTCTACAGCGTACAAATTTTTGCTAAATCGATTTTTTTCCGTTTTCCCCTCCCTTATAGAGGGTGTTTTAGTGGTAAACTTTATACACATTTCTTGGTTTCAAAAATTGACATTTTCATCAAAATTCAGCTTGTTCGTATGATTTTTAGAGGCTCAGTGGCATTTTCGACTCTTCATAAAGATTTTATATATCATAATGAGAAGTGATTACTACATATGGGTTTTTTATTTAAAATTTACTGTTTGTTTAATGTCTACTACTTGAAACAAGATGTTTCTTTGTATTTCCAAATATGTGTTTGTTTAATTAATTAATCATTAGTTAAATTGTGTGTCTAGAATATATTATTTATTGTAGTAGGTATTTTGTGTTTTTTAGCCTTGATGTTGGTTCTTTGTTTCTATCTTAATATTATTTATTGTAATGTAATTGAGTGATTTATAACATTCCCTTTACTGTTATGGAACTACCACCTATTGCTAATAATTTGTATTTTTTTTTAAATGAAAGGAAAACTACGATATCATCAGTCTCTTTCCTTTTATAATAATGATGCATAAGTCAAACAAACTCTAATGCACGCATCTCTATCATGGGTGCCGCCAAAGTGATGTTCAGCAGGCTTCATCTGCTTTATAGGGCGTGCATTTACATCAACATATTTTATTACTCAAAGAAATTATGGGTTTAAAATTAAAATAAGCGAAATTAAGTAAAATTAAATAAAACTAAATTAAATAAAAATAGATTAAAGAAAAATTAAACAAAATTAAGTCAAATTAAATAAAATCAAATCAAATTAAATAAAATTGTATAAAAATAAAAAAGAATAAATAAAATTAAATAAAATTGATTAAAACTATAATTGGTTTCAAATGAGTGTAGAGTAATAAATCATGAAGTGTCATAAAATTTGCCTGAATTTCGGTGTCGTCATGGGCGTAGGCAAATGGACGGATGTCAACTTCGTCGTCAAAAATTGATGTACCTCAAAATATCATATTTTGGATATTTTGTGATAACCAATTTTATTTAATTTTTCGATTAACTTATTCTTCAAACTCGTATTCCGTATATGGTCATTAAAGCTAATTACATTTTTATTTATAAAAACAAATTCACTTCCTTACTGAACGAATAAAAGCATTAGAAAAAAATGACAAGGGTATGACGCACCTCCTAATATTACTAAGAACTAAAATAAATCAACATAAAGACTAATAACGCGTAATGAGGTTTTACTTACACTTTCATTATAATCCCTCTTTTATTTTATTATTATCATTCGACATTCGACATTCGAGTCAGTAATTGTTACTACACCAATTAAACGTACATTAATATTGTGATATAGAAATAGTGAAAAAGTTATAAAATGGCGACATTTACTCCAAAGAAAAGAGGTGTAAAAAATTCTCCGCTATCTGTTAGTGAAAAAGTTATAATTTTAAATGTATATGATTGCATAAAACACGATCACCCTAGTTTGTCTGTGCAAGAAAGTGTTGAGCGATGTGCCCGAATGACTGGAATTGGACAGTCCACGATTTTTTAAATTATTGTGAGAAAGAAAGATATCAGGCCAGTTAAGTCCATGCAAGAGAAAATCAGGAAGACCAATAAAAATCTTAGGTGAAGACACCAAACGTGACATTCGAAGAAAAGTTCATTCGTTTTATTTTAAAAAGGAAATACCCACCCTTGACAAAATACTAATGGAGATAAGCCAAGATAACGATATTCCTTTGATATCCAGAAAACTTTTATGGAAAACTTTAAAAAGTATGAATTTTTCCTGGGAAAAGCACAATCGAAAGGCACTATTACTGGAAAGTGATGAAATCATTTGCTGGAGACGAAAATATTTGAGAACTATAAAACAGTACCGCAGAGAGCACAAGAAAATTTTTTATCTTGATGAGACGTGGATAAACGAAGGTTATATAGTCCAAAAAATGTGGCAAGATGAAAATGTAACAAGTGCTCGCCAAGCTTTCATAGAAGGCCTTTCGACGGGTATTAAAGTGCCTTCGGGAAAAGGGAAGAGGCTTATAATTGATCACATTGGAAGCGAAGAAGGATTTTTAAAAGAAGTTTTGTTAAGCTTTGTGTCGTGTCGGACGGGAGATTATCATGAGGACATGAATTCGGATGTCTTCGAAGACTACTTCGGGGAAATGTTAAAATTTCTTCCAGCTGATTCGGTCGTGGTTATGGATAATGCAAGCGACCATTCAAGGCGCATAGAGAAGGTACCAACTTCAGCTTGGAGAAAGCAAGAAATTATTAACTGGCTGTCAAATAAAGGTATTCAGTTTGAGACGAATTCAATAAAGAAGGAACTACTAGCCGTAGTAACACAACATAAATCTCGCTTCATAAAATATGCCGTAGAAGATGTAGCAGAAAAGTATAAAGTAACTGTGCTACGCCTACCGCCATATCATTGCGAATTAAATCCCATAGAACTTATATGGGCACAAGTTAAAGGATATGTTGCAAGGCACAATACCACATTTAAAATGAAAGATGTCAAGGTATTGTTTGATCAAGCCATTATGGAAATCACATCAGAAAACTGGCAAAAAGCAATCCAGCATGTTTTAAAAGAGGAAGATAAAATGTGGGAACTGGACAACTTGGTCGATCAGGTGGTTGACCCTATAATTATAACACCAGGGGATGATGACAGTTCTTCGGATGAAGACTATAGTGATGTAGAATTGTAATAACGTATCCAGTAAAGTTTTTGTAGTTTTTGTGAATAAATTGATTTAAACTCCCCACAAGTGTTTCAATATGTAAAGTTCATTCGTGTGTGTTTGTGAGTATTTCCCGATTTCGGTTCGTATATATTTTATTGTTACATTTTATATTTTTTTAATAACACTGTTCTGCTGTATTACATTTTTATTTCCTTTAATATGATTTTTAAGAATGCATATTCTTTTGTCAATTAACCCACTAGCGCCCCTCTGGCTCAGTGTTTATCTGTCGATAACAATGGACTAATCCCTTAAAACAGGGTGATACCTACCTGCTCTTTATGAAACGACAGAATTTTGCAATGCGGACGGAATTTATTGACGGATTATTGACGGATTACCCTGTAGCGCTTTTGAATACTTCATGAGATTTTATTACTCTACACTCATTAGAAATATAGTATAAATTGAATAAACAAAATTAAATAAAATAAAATTAAATGTTATAATAATTAAAATGAAGTTGATAAACCTAAATGCAAGATAATACTGAAAATGTAAATGATTAAAAAATTCTAAATAATAGTTACAAAATTTTAAAAAATTACTAAAATTATTAAACAACATTTTTAAAGAAAAAAACTAAGACTTTTTCAATTTTAAACAACTTAAATGTATGGTATTATTATAAAAGATATTATCTATTCAGTAATAAACGGACGTAAAATTTTATAAAATTTCATTAACCCACATAGTAATAACGTGCTATTTTTTTAAAGTTAATGAGTGACTGAAGATGGCAATTGAATGAACTTCCCACGATGGGCAAAATCACTAGTCCCATTATAAATAAAGCGTCAGTGCATGACCTTTATTAGCATTAGCGACACATATTAAGCGTCAAGTTTTTGAAGAATGGCAAGGTGGAGTAACGATAGCAAGAAGAAAAATCAAAAACTCACCTTATGCTGATGACACTGTTATATTGGCGTCATCACCAGAAGCACTGGAACAAATTATGAATAGGCTAGTCACGGTGAATATGGAATATGGTTTGAAAATAAATGTTCAAATAGCCAAAGTAACAATCGATTGTATCAGAAACAACCAAGCAGAGATGAAAAACATGACAGGTTACAAAATAGTCAGGCAATTCAACTACTTACGCTCCCTTATTACTAACAGTGAAGGATGCGAAGACATGATCCGTTGACGCATCATAATGGCCAGACCGGCAACAGTCAAACTAACAAAAATTTGGAAGAATACTGACATCACACAAAACACAAAATTACGCCTATCGCAATCTATGCTTCAGAAACTTGGACAATAAAAAAAGCCGACTCAAAGCGTATAATGGCATTTGAAATCTGGGTCTACCGTAGAATGTTGCGCATACCATGGACCGGCCATCACACAAATAACTCAATTCTAGCAGAACGTAACATAAAAACTAGACTCATCACAACTATCAACCAAAATATACTGAGATATTTTGGACATATAATTAGAAGAAGAGAAGGCATGGAGCGAATGATAGTTGAAGGTAACGTTGCGGGTAAAATATCCAGAACAAGATCTCCAGTACGATGGTCGGACCAAATAAAAGACATGACTGGTTACTCATTCCCCGAAGCAAAACATTAGGCACAGGAAAGAGATAATGGTCAAACAAATTACATGACGCCACTACATCCTTATGAGGAGATAAGATAGAGCAGGGCATGATCTTTTCAACCTAAAACTTTATTATTCTTCTACTAATGTTTTATAATTTTGTTGTTCAAGGTTATTTATTATTACTTTGTTTCTTTATTTTAGGTTTGTGTTTAATAAGATAATTCCTTTGTAGTTCTCCTGGTCTGATTTGTCTTGCTTTTTGAAGAGATGTGTTAAGATGCTTTATCTCCATTCTTGTGGTATTCTGTTTTGTTCTAATATTTTTTGGATAAGTTTTAATAGTTGTTTGGTCAGATCTTGTCCTCCGTATGTTAGGAGTTCGTTCCGTAGTCTGTTCTCTCTATTCGGTAATTTTCTGTTTTTTAGTTTCCGTAATGCTTCCTTTCCTCACACTCCTCAATGTTAATTTCTTTGTTGGTGGTTACTTCTGGCATTGGTCGTTTGCTTATGTTTTCAGCTAAATATGTCTCAGTTTTATTGGTTCGTTTAAGAATCGATACTAAAAAAACGGCTTCTTAAAAAAGACTGCAACAAAATAAAGAATAAATAGGAAAAAAATTTTATTTTTTAACATTTTTTTTAGCTTTAAATGCACTCTTCCACCACAGCTGGAAAATGGACGATGGTTAATAACTGAAGCCGATGTTAATCCAGGCGATGAAGTAGAAGTTAACACAATATTAAGATTGGAATGTAACGAAGGTTATCAGCTGTATCCTTACAATTCACTCATTGCTTGTGATAGCAATTGGGATGATGCAGATTTTCCAGTGTGTAAAAGTAAGTACATATGTAGTTTGTAAATGTCTTTAGTTTTACTTCTTATCTTCTTAACAGTTACAACAGCATTTTTTATATCTACCAATTCTTTTCTGTCTATCATATCAAGTCTTTCTGGTTATTCTTTTTATCATTTTCTATTCTTTATTACTTTTAGTGTTGGTTCATACACGACTAGAACTGACTACGTATCTCAGTTTTTTGTTTATCTTTGTCATGTTACAATAAAATTGTGGATAATTATTAATAACCCAAAAAAAATATTTAAGATTTGGTTCAGATATTTTTTTACGCGATTTCCGAATTGAAAATTAAAATTAAATACAATTGCAATTTTTTTACAAATTTACTCTGCTTTATTTTCATACATTAAATATTTAGTAGAAGTGCGAAAAAGAATTAACACACCATAAATATATTTTCTTTGTCTAGATATCTTCACATATATCATTAACCGGCAATGAAAAAGTTGCCTCTCTGGCAAACAATGCAGGGACAGCCCAAAAAATATGACTGTCATTAATTAAATATATTGAACTAATCACAAAGTAGATACAGTAGTACAGTACAATAATTCTAGAAATCTTACAAAAGCTTAATAAACACGAAATTTTATGGGCGACTTCAATGCAAAAATTGGGCAACACAGGACTGTATGAATTTTGTAACAAAAATGACATGATCAATGCAAACACCCAGTATAAACTACCCAAGCGACGACTATATACTTGAAAAACCCATTAGATAATGACAGCCACCCTAGGTCTTTAAGAAATCAAATAAATATATATTTATAAGTAAGCTCTTCCAAAATGTAGTTAAACAAGTCATTATATCTCCAGAGACATAATCCGGAGACAAAAAAAACAGTGTACTTAACTTTAACTATAATATTAGCATGAAAGATGATATTACAAAAGAATTTAAGGATTAAATAAAGAATGAATGAATCTAAAAACCAAGATAACGAAATATCCACAAACAATGATCATAGAAGTAATTTAATAAAAAAAATAAATGAATGACACAAAACATCTTGAAAATGATGGAAAAACGTCAACTTATAACCAACTAACCATACAATTTTTTCTCCCTTATATCATCTTATTTACATAAATTTAAAACTACAACATTGATGGTTTATACTGTTATATTAGTTTACTTAATTTTCACAATTTTAAATAACGTTGGCTTTTGTCTTAAGTAGAAACATACAGCTACATTGACTGCTCTGTGATAATTTCCGTCATAACTTACGGAACAACTACAGAAAGCTGAGATCACCAGAGGTCCGCTACCAAACCCTAAGGGAGTTGTGTGAAAATGTAAAAAGAGGACTGAAGTGTTTGTTAGAAAGGGATGCTGAATAGTATAGAATTTTTAGGGGACTAACAAGAAGCATGGACAGTAATAGATGTAGAGGGTTGGACTTGAAGTTTGGTTTAATGAAGAGAAGAGGGGAGAGATAGAGAGTATGTTGTGTTGAAGTAAAAGTTTTGGAATGGACTGAAATTTGATGATAAATGTGGATTTTAGTTGAGGGGTAAATTAGGGGTGAAAATTATGAGAATAGTTGGCGATGAAGAGGGAGGAAGTCTCGATTGAAGGATACATGACGATTGACACAATTTGGGTTTTTTTGTTTTTCTTTTAAAATTTCAAGGTCTTCGTATAAATCTAATTTAAGGAAGTTTTTTTAGGGGATGTTGTGTATAAGTGAAATGTCTTCTGGGATATTGAGGTTGTGGTTATGTTCCTTGAAATGTTGGGAGAAGGTGGAAGTATTTTCTCTTTTTATGTGTTCTAGAGAACGTGAGGATAATGATCTTCCTACACAGGTAGGACATGCAGATAAAACGTTCACGTGTTAAATAATACGTGAACATTTACTAAAACAGTTTTATTTTTGTTCATTCAAGAACACTTCCAATTCTAAATAAATACATTTAGATCCAACCATTAACATTTAAATTTCTATAATTCAACCCTCCACATGTGTCTAGTTTATATTTTCTGGGTACCAAATGTTTAAGAAACATAAAGGGCCATATAATCAAAATGTTTCTATATTACATTGCTACACACATGCATAGTTGGTTGCCTAACTACAACCATACAATTTTTCTCCCGTATATCATCTTATTTACATAAATTTAAAACTACAACATTGATGGTTGATACTGTTATATTAGTTTACTTAATTTTCACAATTTTAAATAACGTTGGCTTTTGTCTTAAGTAGAAACATACAGTTACATTGACTGCTCTGTGATAATTTCCGTCATAACTTAACAATATTGTCATCAAATGTCATTGCCAATCAGTTGCACTCATACAGTCCTCGAAGACATTCCGTCTCAGGACTAGCAACTTCAACGTGGAGTCATATGTCGCCATGTTACCTAATCCATCGGTAACTCTTTAATCTTAAATTATTATAACGTATTTTTAAAACTAAATGTAATTAAACATCTGTTAACGGGTTTCTACCCATATATTTAATCTTGGTGGCTACATTAATGTACTTCTAGTAAGTATTAACCACATTTTTCATTAACCTTAGTCAAAATTTTAACCTATGTTCTTTTTAATTAAGTGGTTAACTATTTTCTAGGACACTGATGATGGAACATGGTTTCCAAAAACGTTATGTCTTTTTAACTTAGCCCGTTTGGGCCTTAAATATATACCTATTACAAAGGATTTTTAATTAAATTTTTAATACATGGTATACAGCCAACTACAGGAACGTAGATTCCTTGTGAACACAAGAACTACCAAGAATACCAAAACCTGTTAGAGATAGATTAAATTACCAATTAGAGCTCCTTTAGGAGAAGTAGGTTGTAAACAGACTAGAGAAAGAAATAAATAAAAAAAATTAGAGAATCAAGTCAAACAGGATATAGATGAAGACTGGCAGACCATACAGACTGTCATGTTGGAAGCAGCGGAAAAGTATATAGGAAGAGAGCCTATAAAAAGACGGCAAAACTGGTTTGTTGAAGAATGTAGAAATGTATGAAGGGGTGAAGGGAAGTGAAAAAAATTTACAGAAAACAAAAGAAAAGAGAAAAGCCTACATAAACAAAGAGGTAAAAACTTTCTATCAAGAAGTTAAGAAATGCAGAGTCACTACAAAGAATAATCCACAGTATGGCAGAAACAAAGGAGGCTTACTTATAGGTGAAACAATATAAAAATTAAAAACAGATGGCAAAATATTTCAAAGATCTATTAAATACAGACCAACTAGTGAAACTTGAGAGACATGAGAATTGGCAAGAAGATGAAGACAGGACGTGCAAGGAACTAGCTTTTAATGAAGTCCAGAAGAAAGAAATAATAAGAGACCTAAAAATTAACAAAAGTGCAAAAGAAAGTGGTATTTCAGCTGAGATGTTTAAGGAAGGTTGAAGGAAACGATATTTTATTGATAATAATAATTTTGAAAAAGAAGAAATGTCGAAAAAATTCTTCACTCCATAGAAAAGGGAACAAAACAGAGTGCGAAAACTATAGAGTTATAGCACTGTTAGAAGTTGTCTATAAAATACTTGCAAAATTATTAGGAAAAGATTAATAAAATATGATAACAAAGTGATTGGAGAATACCAGGGAGGTTTTAGATTAGGAAGAACAACTACTGATCAAGTCATCATCATCATCATTTAACCCGGATTTATCCACTGCTGGATATAGGTCTCCCTCAGTCTTTTCCATGTATTTCTGTTTTGTGCTGTTTGCATCCAATTTTTGTCGATCCGTTTTATGTCATCAGACCATCTTGTTGGTGGACGAACTCTACTTCGATGTGCTTCTTGTCTCGGTCTCCACTGTATTATTCGCTGTGTCCATCTGTTATCCGACATTCTAGCTATGTGCCCCGCCCAGTTCCACTTAAGGGTCATAATTCTTTCTATGGCATCTGTCACTCCTGTTCTCTGTCTTATTTCCTTGTTCGTGATCCGATTCCTGCGAGAAATGCCTAACATCGATCGTTCCATGGCTCTTTGGGTAACACAAATTGTATTTCTTACTTTTTTGGTTAGTGTTAATGTCTCTGCACCATATGTAAGTACTGGCAACACGCACTGATTAAAGACTTTTCTTTTAAGACACATAGGCAGTTCTGATTTAAGAACATAGCTCAGCTTGCCGAATGCCACCCAAGTGAGTTCTATGCGGCGGCTTAGTTCGCACGTTTGATTATCTCTTCCTATGCGTATCTCATGTCCTAAGTACTTATAAGAGGGGGTTTCTTCAATATGCTTGCCATTTACTAAAATCTTTTCGCTTAACACAAGATTTGTCATGATTTGTGTTGTTGTGTGGTTTATTTTTAATCCAACTTGTAGGGAGGCTAGGTATAGTTTCCCAGTTGCGATACTGCATCATCGATTCTGTCAGCAAAAAGGACAATATCGTCAGCAAACCTCAAGTGACTAAGCATTTCTCCATTGACATTAATTCCTTTTTCACTCAGATTTGCGATCTTAAACATATGCTCTAATAATGTTGTAAACAATTTTGGCGAAATTGTGTCTCCCTGTCGCACTCCCCTTTTTATTTTAAATACGTTGGTCTTTTTATCTGCCAGTTTCACGCTTGCTGTCCCATTTTGATAGATATATTTTATCACGTTTATATAGCGATGATCTATACGGCACTCTGTTAAGGTTTTTAACATCTTTTGATGACTTATTGTGTCAAAAGATTTTTCGTAGTCAAAAAATATCATGACTAATGGCTTGTTATATTCAACATTCTTTTCTATTAAGTTCTTAATTACTTTTAAATGATCATTAGTGCTATATCCTGCTCTAAAACCTGCTTGCTCTCTTGGCTGATAGAACTCCAACTTACTTCCTAGCCTGTTGGTAATAAGTCTTGTAAATAGCTTATATACTTGTGACAACAAGATAATGGGGCGGTAGTTTCTAAGGTCGCTGATATCTCCCTTCTTATGAAGTAAGATTATTTCCGCGTTGTTCCGCTGCGTCGGTGTTACCGCTTCGCACAGACATTTATTGAACAGTTTAGCAAGTGTCAGTAAGAGCTTATTTCCTCTTAGTTTTAGGCTTTTAGCCATTACCCTGTCTTCACCTGGGGATTTATTGTTCTTCATCACCCGAAGTGCATTTTTAATTTTGTCAACAGTTATGTTCGGCATTAATTCTGAGCCTTGATTCTCTATCTTTGGTAAGGGGCGTCTTTCATCGGATTCACTTGCTTCATATAGTTGTGTGTAGAAGTCTTCCACTGTTTTCACAATTTCTTCCTTATCAGTCACAATGTCGTCTTGTTTATTTCTTAACTTATGTATGTTCTTTTTTCCTGTGGACATTTTGTGTCTTAGAACTTTCAGACTTCTATTTTTCTCTATCACCCTTGTCACCTCTCTCATGTTATGTTGCCGTATGTCTTTTCGGATTTCTTTGTTTATTGTTTTACTGAGTTGAGTAAATTCTGCGTAGTTTGTGTTATACCTGTCCTTTAGCCTCCTTCTTTCTTCGATCAGATTTTTAGTGTTGAGACTTATTTTCTCATGTTTTTTCTTCATTTTACGACAGCACAACTTCTCCGCTTCTTTAAGGGCTTTTACGATACTTTCGTTTAAAACTTCGACCTGTGTTTCGTCGTTGATTTGTTGAAGGTTATGGTCAATGATGTCACGAAAGTGGTCTGTATTTTCGGGCGGGGTCCATTTACGATTGTCTGATTTTATCATTTTTGTTCGTTCATTCTTTAAATTGAACAAAATTTTTGCTCGAATCAATCTGTGATCTCTTCCAATTGTAAATCTGTTTAAAACAGATACATCTTGTACAATTTTTTTTTTTTTATTAGCAATGATAAAATCTATTTTGTTCTTTGTGAAACCGTCTGGACTTTTCCACTTCCACTTTCGTTGAGGCTTTTTTTAAAAAAAGAAGTTCATAGAAAAAAGATTTTCTTGGTGTAAAAAGTCTACAAGCATGGTCCCCCTTCCATTTCTTTCTCCATAGCCGTAGTTTCCTAGTGCGGTTTCACTTTGGTCTTCTTTATTAAACATTTCAATCTCTTCATCTGCGTGGCTTGTCGTTGGTGAATACACTTGTATCAATTTTAATTTATATCTCGAATTTAACTTTAAGGTTAGAGTAATAACTCTCGAGCTTAGACTTTCTATTTTTAATATGTTTGGTACATGTCGTTCGTGTACGATAAATCCAACCCCACCATTTGATGAATTGTCTTTGATGTACTTTAATCAAACTGCTATCGTAAAAATTTAAGACACTTACACCGACGAGATCTCCATACAACGAGGAGTCAGACAAGGTTGCATTTAATCCCCAACATGGTACAATGTTTACTCATACCAGTTATTAACTTCACTTTTTCAACATTTCTTTGCAATAATACTCCCAGTTTAAAACTCAGACAAAGAATAGTTAAGTGCTATATTTGGTCTGTGCTTTTGTATGGAGCAGAACGGTGTACACTAAATATATCAAACATGAATATAATTGACGCATTTGAAATGTTTGTTCATAGATTGATGCTAAAGAAATCTGTATACAAAGAAAAACTAATAAAGAAGTATTAAGTAGGGTCAACAAAGATAGAGAATTGCTAAATACTGGGTAAACACTGAAAAATGTTTTATCTGAATAATATAGTGAGAAAAAGTCGATATAGAATACTACAACTGATCCTTAAAGGCAAAATACATGGCTGCAGAGGTGTGGGAAGTGAACTAGTTTCTTGTAAAAGTAAAGTAAACGTACTTTCAACTGAAATTGTGGTTAATTTCAATAAAAATAATGTACATAATGATATTAAAATGACAAGAAAATACCTTCCGAAAAACTATTTGAATTTATTTTTGATTAATTTTTATTTTCTATTTATTTTTTTTAGAAAAATGTCCATCGTTTTATTCAACTGCGACAACAAAGTTGATATGCAAAGATAAAGATGAAAATACTATCCCTTGCGACAAAGCGACTGACGGAACATACCTAACTTATAGTTGCGTCGCTTTCTATGAAGTCCCGCCAGGTGGAAAAAACGTTCTTTACTGTAACGATGGCATTTGGGATTTTCCGAAACCTTTGTGTAAACCAAGTAAGCAAATTTCACATCTTAATCATTTATGATAGTATACATTTTATCATAAATATAAATTAAATTTTTATTGATATGGCAATAATATTTAGTTTAATACTTAATCATATTTTAATTTGGCAATTTTTTATACGTTTCTGTTTCTTGGTATAAGAATTCCTTGGTAAGATAATACCTTGAAACGAGAGAAAGTATAGTATATGAAATGGAAAGTTATGGGAATATAGCGTATAATGAATTCGACCGTTACTTGATGAAAACACTAAAATCTTTTGTTTTCAAACCTTCCACAAAATTTATTTTAAATTATTATCACTATAGCTGTTTCGGCCAGAGTGCATTTCTCAAACGATCTTTTTTTAGTATTTGTTTACACTGTCTTTAGTCATAGTCTTTAACTGAATAAGTTGAACTGTTTGTCTCAAGTTGGTCGTTCAGAATTATGTCTGTATTTTTTTATTTCTGTAGATTCTAATAAAGATAGCTTATGGTCTTTTATGTCATATTCTCGCGTTTTCAGGTATTTCTTATGTAGTTTTTGATTTAAACTTTTATTTATTGTTTGTTCGTTGTAACCATTTTTTTCTGCTATTTGCTTAATGATGTTCAATTCAATCTCGAAGTTGTTCTTTGACATGCGAATTTGTATTAATCTATTAGTCCAGTCGTAAGAGAGTATACCCCTTAAGATTATATGAACAAGCTGAATTTTGCCCAGAATATTAATTTTGAGACCGCAAAAAAGATGCATAAAAAGATAATATAGATAATTTTAAACCAAAATATTCATTAGCACTTTTTGTGTAGAATAAACCGTTCTCTCAGAAGGACCGTTTGAAGAGACCGTCGATTTTGAATGTCAGTTACGCACGGGAAATCTTCTTCTTCTTCTTTGGGTGCCGTGTCCGTATTCAGACGTTGGCCGACATCATGTTTACAATTTCCTGAAACCTTTCTCTGTCGGCTGCTGCGCGAAATAATTCTTCTACTGTGGAACCACACACACGGGAAATCAATTATCAATAAAATTTGTATCGGCTCGACAGTAAAAATTCGATATCTTTTTATTTAAGTGTCCTACTGGCAAAAATCAAGATGCATTTTAAAGGTAAAAAGTTAGATAAACACAGTTTTTATAAAGGTGTTAAATAAATAAACGTGCCGCGACTTTGGTTATTTTTAACGATGCTAGTGAGATCAATAAAATTGATAACTTTCATTGACAAGTCGTAGTAAAATTTTCATTTTTAGACACCAATCTTTAAAACCTACGAGATGAAACTTAAATTTCTAAACAAAAAAAAGTTGTGGCAACAAATATGAGGCATTTGAAGTATGAATAAAAAACGCAGAATTTATTGTTCTACATTACAAAAGAAAACGGTTTTGAGTGTCTTTTAAAGCAGAAGTTTGGTTCTTTTACAGAACGTACTGTCGTACCGGACTAAGTGGTATGCTGGATAAATGATTGCAACTGGAGCATCGCCCCTAGAGCGAAGTGCTCTAGGAGAGCCCATGAAGGGCCGACTTCGACTGAATCGAGATCCGAATAATCCCATATTTAAAAACAATTTAATATTTATATGAGATTTTCGGACCTCTTGTTCAATAAAAACCTGAATAAAGTATGAGAAGGCGGGCGATGCGCGCCAAGGTGCGTATTAGTTGGTCACTATATGCACCAGGGCGACAGTACTAGAGTAATTAAATTTTTTTTTAATATTTTAGCAAGTTGAGTGCCAGATGAGACCAATGTGGTCTCGTCCATTTCTGGGACGTACTTGCTGTGTTATACCAATGTGGACTCATATGCAGCGTCGAAACATTTCGTTATAAGAAGCAGCGTTGGTCTCGTTGTATTTATTTAAATCAATGGGATCTTGAAACGTATGGCCTAGCGGTCCAGTTGCTATATTCGGCCTTTATATACGAGATAGTTGTGGCACCCTACAGCACTATTACTTTTTTTTGTTTTAAATAAAAATCGTAATTTTACAAGGTTTCTATAATTTAAATTTATTTATTTACTTACAAAGAAGTACATGTATATAAAAATAAAACTTTACTCGACATAAAAACTTAAAATAAAGGCAACAAGGGCTTTGGTATTTTATATTTTCGTTACGTTATGCGTTACAAAAAAACAAGATATACAGTATTGTTTTTACAATTAGAGCACTTCAGTGAACTTTGTGGAGTTTTTCTTGAGGCCTCCTTGGAACCCGATTGTTCAGAGATCTTCGCATAACAAATAACGTAACGTCTTCTATTAGCTCTGCCAACATCTTCCAGTATATGTGAGGCTTCCTCGGACTCTGTATAATTTGGCATAAAATATTCACGTTCTTACAATAGTCCCTTTACAACTTCCTCTCTAAATTTAGTAATTGACAAATTGACATTGGCTATTTCATGATGAGCAATATAAGCATTTACAAAATACGTTCCCGTTAGGAGTTCCAACGCCAGCTTTTTGTACTATTTTAAGCTTCGCCTTAAGGAAGTATTATAGGCTTTCACTTAATTGAATAGATCAATAAATGCCTTGCATTTATTATAATCTATAACTATTTTTGGCTTTAAAATGTCTTGTCCTCTTTTCCTCACTGGAACGATCTCAGCCGTCTGCTTAGTACTTAGATACAGAACATCGCGTTTATTGCGCCATTTTTGTACCACAATTCCTTTCTTACATTTAGCAGCAACCGTTTCATCCTTTTTAAGTTTTTTTTTTAAATAACATCTTTTGGGTTGAACTTTAGGTTTACACGTAATGTTTACACGTAATACCGATGGGTATTTCGATTTAATAATTCAGTGGCTAACATGCAAGAGGTATACCAATTATCCGTGTAAAGTATGCGTCCTTTGTCTAAGAGATTGTTCATTAGATTCATGACAATTTTGGATGGAACTGACATTTGTTCGTTTTTGAATTTACTACAATATATATTAAAGTTATAGGTATAACCCTTTTCAAGGCATAACTTGAACAACTTAATGCCAAACTTATTGTTAATTTTTTTAATAGGGACGTCAGTTTTTGCAACCTGTCGTCTGACAAAATTGTATTCTTGCTGAAATGGAGCATCTTAAGTAAAAGTTGAAACCTGTTGCGAGGTATAACTTTGCAGATATCTTTAATATATATTTTGCCTCGAGACCAATAGCTGCTCACTTCAGGAAATGGACATAAACCCATCCAAAGAATAATTCCGAATAGTTTTTCTATTTCATCTGAGTTTGTTTGTTTCTAGAATTTTACGCGAAAATTAGAATAATCGTTTTTCTCAATGTACTGGTTAGCATAGTGATTAGTTTCAGTCACCTAAAAGTAGATAAATAATTAAAAAATCCAAAAACATTATTTTTGCTTATTACCATGTTTATGATATCATCATTTACAAACAATTTGTAAAAATCGTATGGAGTGTTATTCTACACAGTTTCATACAATTCCGCTCGAAGTCCTGTACCATTTTCGTTTGCCACAAAATCAAATTTCTTCAGGTAGTTGCCACTGACTGGCTCCTAGACCTACGTAGCATTAGTAACTTGTTGGTCCACTTCTTCGTCACTTGATGAGAAAACCTGCATTTGTTAAATAACAGCTTCAATGGTATCTGCTATATTGTCTTGTGGTTTATTGACTGATTGGATAATTTCACTAGATGTCGATGAACCTAAGTTCACTTCGTGTAAATTGGCAGTGCGTTTTGAGCCACACAGTTTTGTTAAAACTTTCTTCTTCTTGCATGTCTAATATTTTGATAAATCATAGTCAGACCCGTTCTCTGATTCCGGTTCAAATTCTTCTGATGTTTCGTCGGGTTCAAAATCGTTCACATCCTCTTCGTCGGAGAAACATTCTTGCAATAATTTTTCTAAACGTTGCTGTTCTTTCTCAAAAATAGACATCTTTACTCACTAAAAGTTCAGCAACAACTGAACCGATCCGATATTGTAAACAACGTTCGCGCCTGACCTAAACCTTTGCTAGTCGAAATCTGTAAATACATATATTACATCACCATGGTGTGGTGACACATTAGTCTCATATGGCCCGAAAGCAAATATTGAAACTCAGAGGCCGCTTGAGACCAACGTGTCACCATTTTAGTTTTTTTTTTGTTTTTTGCAGGTTTTAATTTTTTTTTTCAATTTTTAACAGCACAAAAAGTTATTTATAGTTATTTTCATTAAAAAATTGAGAAAAAAAATTGGCCCCACAGACAGATTTTTTTTGTCCATAGTGCACTCAATGTGTTAGACCCTTCGTTATGTGCAAGTTTAAATCCAGCGTTTTTTAAGTATATTTAAAGTGCCTCTTATTTGTTGCCAAAACTCAAAACTAACACTTCATACTATAAGTTTTAATGGTTAGGCTCTTGTAATCTAAAGTTTGTAGTGACCAGTCAATAAAAGCGATATATTGTTTTGGTTTCATGAGAATCATAAAAAATGGAAAAGATTATAACATATTTTTTTATTTAGCCCCTTTATAAAATCTGAGTTTGTATGCAGCAAAATACAAAAATTGCATACGAAACCTAAAGTCTTTACCTTTAAACCTCATCTTGATATTTGTCGATAGGACACTTAAATCAAAAGATATCGAATTTTTGCCGTCGAGCTGATAAAAATTTAATGAACAATCATTTGGTGCGCCTAACTGACATTCAAAATCGATGGTAGCATCAAGCGTTGTTTGTGAGAGAAGAGTTTATTCTACACAAAAGTGTTTCTTCTTCTTTTGGAGCCTATCTTCTGTGGATATTAGTAATCACGTTGGTTCATACAACTTTGACAGCTGCTCTAAATAGATGTATGGTAGTCATTCCCACCCACTGTCTGATGTTCTTCAACCACTATGTCCTTCTGTGCCCTTGAGATCTTTTGCCTTCTATCTTGCCTTGTAAAATTAGTTGAATTAGTGGATACTTCTCTTTGCGCGTAATATGCCCTAAGCATAATGTCATCTTTCTGATTTTTATGATACG